GATAATGAGCCATGAGTATGCAATTAACCACCATGTAAAGTCTAGTTGCCATAGAAGTGATAATGGATTCAAGCAAAGAAGGTGTGATGTAACAGAAACGATTACACCTACATCAGAATCAACATTTCATTGAAATAATGAGATAAAAATATGTCATAATATGAATATTAATCTTCCAAAGGTTGATAATTGATTATCTTAAACTTCATAATGCTATTCACCCCTACGTTTATTTTTAAATAAATACTCTTAAAGAAAACATTTTTAGTCTCAAAAATAATTACAAATATCAACAATGATTAAATATTGTTTGAAAAAACTCTGACAAAGTAAAATACACTGAAAATTGGCAAGAATTTGAGGGCAATGTGTAAAAGTGAAATATCTGTGTTAGCATGGAGAAATTAATAGTGATCTTTTTCAAACTTCAATTTTATATTATTGATACTACATTTACACACATTTCAACTTTGTTCCTACTTCTTCCTTAAACACATACACACACACACTCATTTTCTCAAAATTAAATGGAATATCTTAATGTAACGCTGCAGCAAGATGGGGTAGCAGCTCAAGAGCTCTGTCAATCATTCTCTTAGCTAGAAAGCATGCACAGCTTATGGGTGATGCGCTGTTCGTGACTAATGCTTCAGATGACATCCCAGCTCCTTATGTGAAACAGCAGGCTTTTATATCCAGTGAAACAATATCTTCATGTGAGACTGCCATGATGTTGGGCATAGAAGGCCGTAGGCTGTCTACTGCAGAGTTCAATGGTGCTTTGGGGAAGAAATTAGAAGCTTAGTGCATGTCTAACTAGCTTAAGTAATTTCTCTCTTCACATTCCACTCTTATGTGGATTTACATTAAGATATATCTAGTGTTTCTTTATACAAAGATTTGTAGAAGCACTTGTTCTCACTGGTTACTTAACATTCAAAGATTTTGGTTTGGATATTGTTTCATCAGATTAGTTCCAAATAAAGGTAACCTTGTGAATTTTGGATCTCATTGCCTGTGTGGAATTAACAGTGATTTACGTTTTCTTCCCTACACCTTTAAAGGCTGTTTGTTACCCACTGCAAAGAGACTGGAGTATCATATCAAAAACCAGCAGCAAGAAATGAAAAGCAGCAGGGACAAGCAGACAACAAAATATAGAACCTGCTCTGATAAATTAAAGGTCATACTCTGTTATCATCCTTACTAAAGAGTTCTTTTGTGCTAGCTGTGTAGCATTTAAGACAGAAGAATGGTTTAACAGCTACAAAAACAGGCAGAGCCACTGATAGACATCACTAAATACTGAGAATAAGAAAAGTGAAATGTAAGAGCAGCCCCACATTACCTTACAAATGGCATTTTGCCATTTTCCCAGTTATGAGAAACTTGAGTACTTTCTAAATCATAATGTCATAATATTTAAGCTTATCTACCCTAATAAAAACTTAAACATATGTTTTTTCTAAAGTATTTTTTTCCAGTTCTTGGTTTTTTAAAATCAGAAAATTATGTGGTTCAGATGAAATTTTGACCACTCTGTATCAATCTTGACTTTTAATATAGTCTTCTTAATATTCAAATTGATCCATGAAAGAAAAGATAAGTGAATATTTCATACATGGTCTGATGTGGCCTATAATGGAAATGAGAAAGTTCCCTATTCTCCAGTGGAAAAAAGTCTGATTATTAAAACATTCTAATCTTATATTCAATGGACTTCACTCTCCCTCTTCCAGTTGTAACTGGAATGCAAGATTTTTTTTTTCAATTAGAAAGATGAGGTTTGTCCACTGTATGCAAGTAATTTAAGATTAAATGCTCTGGAATTGCAAAGGACAAAGAATTGGATAAAGGTGCTGGATAATTTCTATCCTCCCTTCAATTTTATAAAATGCAAAACTACTGAAGTAAAATAACCATATTTCTTTTTTTGTAGATAAATTGAATACTATGGATATGAATTTAAATTCCTAAAATAACTTTCCCCTAATACAAGTTGGTTTTCTCTACCAGCAATTATTTATTTAAAGTAATTATCCAGTGGTCACAATCACTGAAAAAAGAGAACTCTTGATGATTAAGATAATGGGCTCTAATTCCTGGGTTCACTATTGATCAGCTGGATCAGTAGCATAACATCTTTTAACCTCCGTTTTCTCATCTGTAGATTTATAAGAATAGTACCCATAATATATGCAAGTATCTTAGCAAAATGCCTGGCCCATGGTAAGCACTCATAAATATTAGCTATAATACTGTGGTCACGTCATTGTTTATTCTCTAGTATAATGTGCCTTATATATCTAAGAATATGTAGATCACACAAAGTATTTTCTACCCACCTGATCACAGAAAGTCGAAGTAAATGTGAAGAAGAATGGAAGATAAATTTATTTTTCTTTCCCAGGATGAGTAATGGCCAAAGAGGTAGCCTTATTATGAGTGATGTCTGGAACATAGGTACTTTATTAAAATCCCTGCACTTACTCCCAAGCCATGTCATCTCATTCTCAGAGGTGTTTGCATGCTACTTTTAAGTCAATGGGAACAACTGAAAAGAGGTCATTAACTGGAAGAAACCACACAAAAAGAAAAATCCAACAGCACCTGCCTAAGGAAAAACAGAATTCAGGGTACCACCATCTGTTCTGTGCCAGCAGTGTGGTGACAAAAGCTGTTCCCGGAATAAGAATATTTTAGATAGAAATGAAGTCTTCAAATGACATTTTAATCCATATATTAATGCTTCAAATGGATACACTTCAACTAGAATGCCTTAAACTCTTATTTTCACCCCATAATGCTCCTGGCAAAGAAGGGCCACAGAAACCACGAACAAGAGTTGTGGATGCTGCTTGATCCATTATCTGTAAAATGAGGTTTGGGGACTGGATGGCTGCCAAGTAGACCTTCAATGCTAATGACCAATGGTCCCAGGCCTCAACATGGTTTTGTAGTAAAGACAAGCATTAGACCATCTTGTTAAAACATGGTGTCTGTGGATTTTCATGAGGAAATTAATTTTAGAGCCATTAAAAACAAAATACCATAAATGTTTTTAACTCAGCAAGTATCTTTAAAAAAGCAGTGAAATCTTTGGCTTGGCATGTTCTTTTCTTCCCCTCTATCTCTCTTTTGAAAACTAACTTATGGTGCCTCGACAATTTTATGAAGAATTTCAGTTGGCATCTGTGGAGACCTTTATAATTAAGCCATTACATTTGTCTGAAATGTTTGATGTTTTAAGCACGTCTTCTTTCTTCTTTCTCCTATATAGACACATACATCTTTTATCACTGAGACATTTCCTGCATTCTTTCTCCCCCTTTACCACAGCATGTCATGGTTTTGACAGTCATTCTTAAGAGGAGGAAGGCAGACATAGGTTAGATTTTACGAGATTTCAGTTATACAAAGTGTGGTTAAGACAATGAAGGACATGGCATTAGGATGCTGGGAAATAGAGAAGTTTATCTCCTCTTCATTTGAAATTTTTAGCACAAAAGAGATTAGAGCAGAAAATGTTAAGAGAACATCTGAGGACTTCAAGTCAATGGCCGCTCCTTGCAAACCCTTTTTGTCCAAAGCCTGTCAAAGCGAACCTTTTCTTGGATTGCTCAAACACCTGTGATCATGGGAACAGTACTTTCAGAGTTATTTCTAGTTCAAGAGACATTCTCATGAGAGTTCCTATCCAATCAAATCTGTCAGGGGCTGACTTAAAAACCTGTAAGTAGCTAAGTGTAACCTGTAAGTGGCTAAGTGTAACTCTCAGACTAAGTAGAGATCGCCAATTAAGACCCAAGCATCTTAAATAATGCAGTAGGTACAGAGAATAAATAGTTCATGGCATAAAATAGATCAGAATAAAACCATGGATTTCTCTACTTCCCTCAGTATTTACTCTTAAACTTAAGCAACTTGTTGTTTCTAGTAAAACTCTAAATGCAGAACAGAATGAAAAGAAGATAAAAAACAAAGAAATCCTATCAAATTTGAGCTGATGCTCAATTACAACTGGAATTGATCCACACACGTGTTCTTCTCCATCTTTCTTATAATCCGATAGATCTACAGTTAAGCTGTGTCATATCCAAGAAGAAGGCTGAACTTACTAGGCCATACAATTCTGGTCTGATTAACACTTCATCTAACACTCTTTTTTGAAATCTTTTACATCTAACTGGTGTCGTTTTGACTTCATTGAAAATAAGCAGTCTCTTGGCATCTTCCACACAAGAACTCTACACCTACTTAAAGACTGTTTTGGGCTTAAAGATTGTTTATACCCCTAGTACCTAAGAATGTGATTGTCTGTAGAAATAGAGCCTTTAAGTAGGTAATTAAGTTAAAATGATGCTGGTAGGGTGAACCCTAATGCAATCTGACTGATGTTCTAATAAGAGGAAGATTGGACACAGAAAGAGAAACAAGGGATGCACAGGCATAGCGGAAGGGATAGTGAAAACACGGCGAGAAGGTGGCCATCTGCAAGCCAAGGAAACAGGCCTTGGAAGAAATCAAAACTGCTGACAACTTGATTTCGAACTTTCAGCCTCCAGAACTGTGAGAGAATAAATTTCAGTTGTTTAAGCTACCATTCTATGGCAGTCCTAGCAAACTAACACTGAGATGATTTAAAAGGAGTTTGAAATCATATGCTGTTACCTTATTCACAGATCTTTGATATTAAGATGTGATAGTATTTTGCTGCCAGTTGCTAAAACAGTCTAAAAGTGAGTACTCATGGATTTGCACACAGAATAAAGATCCATGTTAATGTCAAAATAATGTCCATTTTAATTATTAATTTTGGTTAAACTGGATTTTGTCCTGTTCTGGTTTTGCTGCAAATCATAATATTCTACATCACAGTTCTGGTAATTAGTAAGGTTACCAAATAAACTCTAGCAATGTACATTTTTGCATGACTAAAACTATAAGAAAATAATACTATTTTCATCATGAAATATATACTATGATTACATGCAGTTCCATTCATGTACATAGAATAATGTTTCCAAGAGGAACTACTTGGCCTTTCATATCATTAAATGAAATTTCTTGAACAAAACAAAACATTTGCTACTACCGTTTTCTTCACTTTGTAACTCCTTATATTTTCACTAGCTACACAGATGACTGCAGCACTATTAAAAATTTGCTGTCAGTGTTAGCTTTCCAACTTATATAAAAAGTCTCATTGTAAAACACACAAACAATAAAAGCAACTGTGCACAAACCAAATCCCTACTTATGTTATTGATTATGTCAGGTGATAATGTCTTATTTAAATATGCTTATATTTTCTTCAATTTGGAAACTACTGTGAGATCCCAAAAGATTCACTGTGTCCACTTCAAAAACTCTAAAATTCGAAGTACCAGAAGACAAGCATATATTTATTCATACTAATTACTATCCTTAGGAACTGCTTAGGGAATTAAAAAAGAGAAAAAGAAAAAGTGATTTTGAGATATTATGATTAGTTTTGTGGGGCTTGCTAAATAGTCATGAAAGAAAAAAATAGCAACTTTCAGTGTTAATTTGGAATTTTTATCTTCTACTTAAAACTGAATGAATATCTTACACTGTTTTGCTTTACTGTGGTGCTCACCACTGAAGAAGAATACCAATTCCAAGCCCAACTTAGAAATATACCTCAGTAAAGCTGCCCTGCAGCAGGGCTGACCACCTCTGCTGAAAGTGCCTAGGCACAGGGATGACTGCGTCAGCTGGTGCTACAACAAAAAGACGTGAGTTCTATATGGATGTAATGATCTCAAGATCCCTATATTTCCTAAGAAATTAGACATGGCTTCCTCATTTCCAACTACGAAGACAGACTTCAAAAGGAGTTTGTGTCCTTTATAGGGACTTGGATGAATCTGGAAACCATCATTCTCAGCATACTGATACAAGAACAGAAAATCACGCAGCACATGTTCTCACTCGTAGGTGGTTGTAGAACAATGACAGCACGTGGACACAGAGAGGGGAGGATCACACACTGGGGTCAGTTGGGGGATACCAGGGGAGGGAGAGTGGGGGGTGGGGACGGTGAGGAGGGATAATGTGTGGAGAAATGCCAAATGTGGAATGGAGGCAGTAAACCACCTTGCCATGTTTGTACTCTATGCAACAACCCTACATGATCTGCACACATACCCCAGAACATAAAGTACAATAAAAAAATATAGTTTTTGGCCTGCTTTTTATATGAAAAAATGTTTATGAGAAGGAGCTTTGTCTATGCCTTTGTCTTCTGCTCTCTTTTGATCTTCCTGTAGCCTATACCCTTAGGAAGAATTTGATCTTGAATTCCAATACCAAGTGTTCCACTTCCCATGTTATAATAAGCAACACCTTGATTGTTCTGTCACCTAACGTAGCTCCAGACATTTATTCTGGCCCCTTTAGACTATTCCCTGAACTTCAGCAAGAAAAATTATTTGAAATCATGTGTTTTCTTCAACAGACTGTGTTCCAAGAGGGTAGTGACCACTTCTGTACTCCGTGCTATATCCCCAGCATAATAAGTCCAGGCACATAGCAGGTCTTAAATAAATATTTCAGAATGAATTACCGAATTCACTGGGATTGTATCTCCTCAGTCTCTTGTGTCTTCTAGTATCCTTTGTTCTAACATGGCTTATCAATCATAATGAACCTCTGGAATCTTGAGCAGGTGTATCTCATGCTTCTAGCTTTTTCTCCATAATTTAGATTTATTGAAGTTGCCTTCTATTCCCTCCAAATCCTGCTTTTTGCAGGCAAAAATAAGAAGTCACAGTGGTGCTCACTTTTATTTAATGCAGTAAGAAAACAGAAGCACTTTGACATTAATATTTAGATATGGAGTCAACTTCCTTCTTGAAACTTGCCATAATGAATCTCTGCTAACTATTTTTAGAGATATTCAACAATCCTAGTTTAGGTAGGAAATTTGAGAATAAAACAAAGGCATAGGCCTGCTAAACTATTGTTAGGAAGACTTTGAGTATTCAGATTAGAAAGAGATCTCACGTAAGCTCTTAGACATAAATGAGTGCACTATTAGTTTGATATTTTATTAAGAAACAAGTGACATGAAGAAAAAGAAGGCATATATTATAGCAACTTGGAACTTAATAAAAGTTATGCCAAAGGAGGAGGTCAATGCAATGCATTTTATTTTTTGGTTTGTTTTTATTTTTGTTTGTACATTTTTTTAAGGCCTGGAAAATATGAGGATGTGAGTAGGATCCCAGCTGTGCCATTAATGACATGCATGACCACAAATGCTTTATTTGGCTAGTCTTTAAAATAAACAAGGCCAGGCGCGGTAGCTCAAGCCTGTAATCCCAGCACTTTGGGAGGCTGAGGCGGGTGGATCACGAGGTCAAAAGATCAAGATCATCCTGGTCAACATGGTGAAACCCCGTCTCTACTAAAAATCCAAAAAATTAGCTGGGCATGTTGGCGCGTGCCTGTAATCCAAGCTATTCAGGAGGCTGAGGCAGGAGAATTGCCTGAACCCAGGAGGCGGAGGTTGCGGTGAGCCGAGATTGTGCCATTGCACTCCAGCCTGGGTAACAGGAGAGAAACTCCGTCTCAAAAAAAAACAAAAAACCATTTTATATTATCACAATAATTTAGGTAAAACTATTGTATATGTAGCACTAGATGAAGCATTCCTCATCAAAAATGAAAAGTTTCCTTTTAATAGCCATAGAAGGAAGAGTTTCTAATTTAAATCTTGTGAAATCTTAATTTCTTAAATATGTAAAATATAACGCAATTAGGATTTATGGTAAAAGACAGTCAAGTCTATTTGATTTTTATGGAGGCTAGAACATTCCAAATTCAAATATTATTAATGGACTTATAAACATGTTACTGTATCTTTCTAAGTTTTATCATGTCTGTAAAATAGAGATAATTTATGAGTTTACTTGTTTTTTATCATGATCTGTGGTTTTCTTTTTAATTATCTTAAGTCTTATGATCACACATCATTTTTAAATTTGTGTATATTTAATTTACTCTACTTTAATCCTTTTAAGTTAGGAAAAGCACCATTCCCAATCACAAATACATAGCAGATGTACAGTTTTGTTTCTGAATGGTTGTTTAAAGACAATCCTAAATTATAATTTAGTTTGACTTAGATTTTAAAGAATTCAAGAGTGAAGTTTAATTGGATACTACAAAGACAATCCTAAATTATAATTTAGTTTGACTTAGATTGTAAAGAATTCAAGAGTGAAGTTTAATTGGCTACTATTTTAAAAGTATATGACCTTATATATCATCTATAAAATCTGTGAAGTGTTAAATAATTTTTGATATTACACATAAACTACACAAAATGCCTTTCAATAAGTAAAAGGAACCATTTTAAATACAGGGATTTCTAATTAGATTGGCATAGTTAAGGCCAAAAATATAAAATAGCCATTGCTACCCATTTATCTTCAACCCTTGCCTTTAAGAGGCAAATGAACACAAAACACAGGTGAATCTTGCATGGTTCTGAGACACTGAAGGAATTTCCCCCATTATGTATTCACATAACCAGTTATATAAATCTAATTATAAAACCAATCTCCAATAAGTTTTAAGATGGCACTCACCATCTTTGCGAAAAGTTTAACATTACTAATGAAGTCTAATCATATCTTTAGAAGGGGTAAACAGTGATACAATTACTAAAATTTACTAAATTAGAATTACCATTAAAATCCAAAAACTGAACATATTCATTTAACCACAAGCCAGTCTTAGTTTTAAATCAGGACTGCACAACAAAATATTCTGTCAGTCTTGCATAATATAAATTCTGGTGTATGAGATCTATTAAAGTACGTACACATAAAAAAGTCATGAGACGTCTGTTTCGTGATAAGGCAGTGGACAATTATTACTCATTAGTAGCTTTTTTGAGATAAGCTATTAAGTCTTCCCTCTCTCCCTTCTTCTTAAGGCTGACAAAGATCATTTTTGTTCCAGGGATATATTTTTTGGGATTCTCCAAATAATCCATCAGTGTATCCTCTCCCCAGATGATGCCTTTGTTCTTATTGGCTTCAGTATAAGTGAATCCAGAGGCCTGTCCTGTCTTCCGCCCAAAGATACCATGGAGATGAGGCCCAGTCTTGTGCTTGCCTCCCTTTTCCACGGTGTGACATTGGGAACACTTCTGAATAAAAATTATCTTGCCTTTCTCCACATCACCCATATTTCTTTTTCATTGCTAGCGCAATCAAGGTTACCGCTCGGAACCCGGAAGTCCCACTCTCGAGTTTACTTTTAAGAATAATATGTAATTGTCGGTAATATAATGGCTACTATTGTTTTTATAGATTATACAGAATCACAGATCCTTAGAAATAAAAATGACTTTAGCTAGAATCTGGTCCAATACCCGTCCAATGCAGGATGATTTGATAACCTTGACAAATTGGTCTCTTGAGCTCCATAGACTTAGAAGGGAGTATAAAAGTTACCATAGCTCATTAAGAGTTGAAGTACATTATCTTTTAAAACTACTCTTGTTCATGCTATTTCCTTTTTTTTTTTTTTTTTTTTTTTTTTTTTTGAGACGGAGTTTCGCTCTTGTTACCCAGGCTGGAGTGCAATGGTGCGATCTCGGCTCACCGCAACCTCCGCCTCCTGGGTTTAGGCAATTCTCCTGCCTCAGCCTCCTGAGTAGCTGGGATTACAGGCACATGCCACCATGCCCAGCTAATTTTTTTGTATTTTTAGTAGAGACAGGGTTTCACCATGTTGACCAGGATGGTCTTGATCTTTTGACCTCGTGATCCACCTGCCTCGGTCTTTCAAAGTGCTGGGATTACAGGCGTAAGCTACCGCGCCCAGGCCTTTCTAAAGTAAATGTAAAAAGTATGAAAAGAGCATAGTCACAAATTGTGAACGAATGCAATGGATCTTCTCATTTTTATTTGTTTTGGTTTGGCTGTGCATTGAAATACCCTAATTCCATTCAGTCATTATGTTTAGTTTATCAAGTTAATGGCTTTCCGGTATATTCAACACACACAACAGTAAAGTTCAAGTGTGAAACTGAAATGACAATGCCATGAAAAAACAAACAGATCCAATCCTAGATTTCCTGTTGCACAGGGAAGAAATTGAGAACATAATACTTAGAAATACGTAAATCAGGAGAATGAGATTTACAAAAAACCTATATGTATAGAAACAAAACAATTAAAATCTGAAACAGCCTCCAAAATGTAAAATATCAGACCTCACAGAAGGACATTGAGCCCTATTATACATCTTTCTTCATCCAGGCAAATTCTATTTCTTCTATAGTCTACTTTGAGGAGTCACTGAAGAATTGAGGGGCAGGGAAATATATGATGAAGGCAATTTAAAAAAAGATAAACATCTTGGCTGCACACCAGTTGGATTAAAATAATGGAGACTGGAGAGGAACGTATATGGTTTATAGGTGATAACAGGAAAAAAAGGCCCAATTGTGGAAAGGACCTTACATCATTAGAATAATGTCAGTCCAGGAATAAATGCCTCAACGGGAATAAACTCAGCACCTCACCATAATCACTAACTCAGACTGATTCTAGTTTCTCCAAGTAAAAGGCAGGCAGTAGTCTCAGCTCCACCGGCAAGCACTGCATATTACGGGAGGTGACAAATGTTTCAGATTGTCTCTAAAATCTTGGGTTGTTCCTGTTATACAGGAGTAACTATAATAGCGTTTTGTTTTTTTTTCCTGATAACTGTGAGTGTTTGAATGATAATTTTTATGATTTTGTAATTATTGGATGCCACTGCGGGAATTCAAAAAAGAAAACTTCCCTGGATTGTTAAAGGCTTGGGCAAGCCCAACATGCTTGGTGACAACAATAACAACAAACAAACAAACAAGCACAGCTCTTCTTTCAGGAAATCTTGCTGTGGTAATGCAGACAACCTGGAGACCCCAGCACAGACTGTATTTCAGCCTCTACTTATCCCCTCCGCTGGGACTCTGGGGCAGCCCCCAAGCTGACTAACTATACACAGCACACTGTCCACAAGCTAGCATGGTTTCTCTAATGCTTATTTATTAAATTTCAAATGAATTCCTTAGCACCTAGCCCACATTTTGCTCTTCAGTGAAATCAGCCTTGATTACCACACACCACTCCATTTTCTAAAATTGTACAGAACATATATTTTGTGCCACTCATTTGAACTGTGTCTTTCCTAGTAATGTCTCTGTAGTGTTCTGCTTGGAGTGGGTTTGGGGATAGAAGCGGTGCTGCAATTACATGTCTTCCAGGGTCAGGAGGAACAATCTTGTTTTTGGAAAGATTTGTCTCCGTGTATGTGAACCAAAGTCTAACAGCCAAGAGAAAATAAATTTGTTCCCAGAAAGAAATACAAACTAAGATGGGGAGGTAAGAGGCTATTGCAATTTCAGGACTGTGAAACTAAATTATTTTGACTAATAATAGTGGAGTTAACTTTTATTCAGTACTTACTACTTACCAGGTTTTTTTTAAAACCAATTTTTGTTTTGAAATTAATAACTCACGTGAACTTCAAACAACCTTATGAGGTAAGTACAATCATTGTCCCCATTTTATAGATTAGGAAACTGACATTTAAGAACTTGGCAAAAGGTTACACATTTCATCAGTGTTTTAAAGGGGATTTGAACCCACACAGTCTGGCTTTTGAATCTTCCCTCTTAACCTTCATGCTAACCTGCACCCTTAACTTGCATTAAGTTTGTAGCATATGTCTGGTTTGATCATTTGATATGTGGCCTATATTCCTATAGCAATTTTGGTCATTAAGAGGAGTATGTAAGTAGACTCAGCACTCACTTCTACATCTAGATAAGGAACAACCAGCAGAGAAGAAGAACACTATTATGAAAATGCTTCTAATCACAAAGGACCCCTAAATAGCCCTTACAGATCTGAATAGAAGAAGTAATAACCACTGGTATCAGAACCTCAGCACAACCAAGGTCTGAGCCTCATCTGATCTGTTGAGGACCAGCAATAACATTTTGTGAGTTATTTTTTAGGAGAATTCAGACTTATTTCTTAGGCAACATTGCATCATCCTGCAGAGCACTGGAGTAAGCTTTAGAATGTATGATGTTGGCAAGTAACTGAATCTCCCGGTGTTTGCTCATTTCTCAAATGAAGATACTGTAAGCTCTCTTATTAAGATTTTGTGAGTGTTAATGCAATGTTTGTAAATAATGGATGTAAAATAATTAGCATAGTGTCCCATATAGAGTGCCAACTATAGAGTGCGTGTCTAACTCATTGTTTCTGATACTAGCCCTTGCAAATAAGCAGGAATTTCAAAAGATTCTATGAATGTCTGGAATTTTGGATGAGTTCTGTTACCTCTTCACCCCAATGCCAGTGCAACATGAATTTCCTTTATTGAGTCAATTTGACAGATTTAACATTCTATTTGAACTCTATTTCCATAAAGCACAGGCCTCATCTAATTATCCCCAGGTCTGCTTTCTACTGTGATTGTGCCCATTCTGCCTCTCTTTTTTAGCAAAGCAAATCTTTTCATTTAAAAAGGCTTCCTTTTGTTTGTTTTGCCTCTAACCACAAAATGCACTCTCATCCAAGTCCTCTGACAACCTGAGCAATAAAAATAATAAATGAGAGAACTGAAGACTCCACTTGGACCTTTAAAATGCTCCAGCAAAGGTGACCCTGAAAAATTATTATGGCTTGTTATCAATTAGGTGACACTATCTAGAAAAATAAAACCTAAATATTCCTCTATTCTGTCTGATTTTATATATCATAAATCCTGCTAAAACACTTCATTGGAAATACGTATGGTAATATCTAGCCAGGCTTATGTTAGATATATTCTTTTTGGATTCTCAGTGGACATTTTCAATATTAGGGCCACCAAGATAGATATTATGCCCAAGATGACACATTACTTCAATATTACTTAACATGAGGAAAGTCAGTCTCAAATTTCCAGGGAGGGGTAATTTCACCTGCTTTTTAACAGTTAAATTCATAAGGATAAAAACAAAGCAGACTTTAAAATGTTTAAGATAAATGCCTGTCTTTGAGAAATATTCTACCCATGAGGCTAAATTTGATGTAAAATATTCATTATCATAATTTAAATTTTAATATACAGCCTATTTAAAGCCTTCATACTTCAAAAGGTTTTTACATTTATTATGCCATTCTGTCTTAATTAAGAACCAACTCCAATATTAGATCAATTTATACCTTTGGATTGTTAGAAAAAGGAATAAATCTACTTTTCTAATAGCTACATGAACATGAAAAAATATATAATTTTTTCACAACAAATGCATCTGACTTACATGCAGGCATTAAGTTTTGTTATGTTATTTTTTCTGAAATGTTATATCATATAGAATTGAGAAAAAGGTATTTTTAGGTGGAAACCATTTCTAAACTCTTATTTTGAGAAAAAAAAAAAAAAAGGCTTACAGAATGAGAATTCCAAATACCTTTTATCCAGCTCTTTTCCTGTTAATAATAAAATAAATATTAGGCAGTTCTCAAAACAAGAAAGTAACATTGATAAAACTGTTGACTAAAGCATAGACTTTATTTGGTTTCACCAGTTTTTAACTAATGGCCTTTTTCTATTGCAGGATCTAACCCAGATCCCACATTGCATTAAACTGCCATCTTTCCCTTGTCCCTTCAGACATGTCTTTTTTTGTAATTCATTTAGTTGACGCTTTTGAAGAATACTGACTGTTTTGTAAAATGTCCCTCAATTTAGGTTTGTCATACTTAGACAGAACTTACAAATTTTTTGCTGAGAATATAAATACCAAACAAGTGAAGAGCCTTTCTTAGCATATCAGATCAGAGGGTTCATGAAGTCAATATTTTTCATTATTGGTGATATTTAACTTGATCAGTAAAGGTGATCTGCTGAATTTTTCTGAAGAAAGTTACTACTTCTGCTTGGAGGAAATACTTTTAGACTGCATAAATTACTAAACTCTACTCAAACTTTTTCTCACTTATTTTGGTATTTATTAGGAGGGAAGCCCAAATTCAACAATTTTTACATTGGGATTCTAATGATGATTTCCTTTTTCCATCATCCTTCTGTATTACTAATTGTAATTCTTCTGTATGGGTGAGCTGTCACTGCTTCTCTGTCTGTGGATCTATCTTTGTATCTGTTCGATTACTTGTTTATATCCGTATGGGTTCATAGATGTTTATTTTACTCTTTTGGTTATAATCCAATGACATGTCTATTCATTTTGCTGCTCAATTTTCTCCAGTTCTGGCCATTGGGAGTTTTTTTAAGATTACTTCTTATGCTTTTTTGTCAGGCCTCTCTCTCAGAGGTCCATAAAGTATGCCCCACAGGTCAAATGTATCTACTACTGTCTACCTAATATTGTAAATCAAGATTCACTGGAACACAATCACACCCATTCATTTTCCTACTAGCTATTGCTGCTTTGAGCTACAATGGCAGATTTGAGTAACTATGACAGAGGTCAAGTGGTCCTCAAAGGTGAACATATTTAATATTTGGCCTTTTAGGATGAAAATTTGTTGATCTTTGCTCTAGATAAATTTTCTTTTTTAAAAAGTATGAACTTTGAATAGTGCCCAAAGGGTATTTAATTGTTATACCTAAGGTACTTTAGAATTCAGAATCTTAACTGTATATTTTTCCTATATTCACCTAACTTCATTAGTTGTAATAATTTTGATTTTAGATATTTATTATTATTTTAGATTTATATAAAAAGGATTATCAGTGTTCTATTGAGTTTAAGATACTACATCATACAGAGTGATATAATATTTTCTTATACTACATCATTAAGTTTCCTGAATACATGCAAAGGGTTTTATTAACTTCTTCTCATAATAATGAATGGTAATATGATAGTCTCCTCTTATTTCACAGTTTCAGTTACACACTGTCGAATGCAGTCTGAAAATATTAAATGGAAAATTTCAGAAAAAAAACATGCCATTTCAATAAATGGCATGAAATTTAAAACTTTATTATTTAAAAAACTTATTATTTATATTCTGAATAGCATGATAACATCTCTGGCCATCCTACTGCATCCCTCCTGAGGCATGAATCATCCCTTTGTCCAGTGTATCCACATTATGTAGTCTGTTCATCACTTATAAGTAGCCATCTAGGTTATTAGATCAACAGATCACAAGAAGAGGGTGCGTACAGTACAATAAGAAATTTTGGAAAAGAGGGAGAGAGGAAGGGGCCACATTCACAGAACTTTTGTTATAGTATATTGTTATGATTGTTCTATTTAATTACTAATTGTTGCTAATCTCTTATTGTGTCTAATTTATTCATTAAATTTTATCATAGGCATATATGTATAGGGAAACACAGTATATTTAGGTTTTGGTACTATCTGTGATTTCTGGCATCCAGTGGGAGTCTTGGAATGTATTCCTCAATCAATACAGGTGGATTATTATACTTTATGGAGATGTTATATTGATAACAATATTTATCTTCATGATATTGGACAGTTATTTCACCATCACATTTCACAGTCATCAGATGATTTACTGAGAGACCTTTCCAAAGGAAACTCTTAAACCATGCATTCTGTTTTTAAGGATATTTGTTATGTAATGTCCCAATATTATAATTATATCAAGTATATGATCAGTGCTTAAAATACGTTTATTAGAAGGATAATGGCATTCTTACAATCATATTTTGGAGAACAGTTTTTCTAAACTGGAAGTACAACAGTTGGCCTTATTCTGTGAAAGGAAAAAAAATCATCTGAGTTAGTAAAGGCTACACCCAGAGGGCTATATCAGTGGTTAGAAGTCATTAGCAAAGGTTAGTAAAGGGCAGCCACATTTCATTGGAAGTGTGTTTCATTAGGGGAGGAGGAGGTTCCTCCTCATATGTTCATTACATAGACTTTATTTTTTCCTCTAGAATCTCAATATCTTCAAAGACCACCTAAAGCAGAGGTTATGAATTCTAGGTAAATTGGCCTAAGGATGTTAAATTGCAACCCTTAAACATCACATATATAATTTTGTGGATAGAATGCTCTCCTTTGTTTTTATTTTTGCTTGTCATTGAGTTGGGAACGTGATTTCTCTTCCATTGAACTCAGCTAATTATAAACTATATGATAAAACAAAGATACTTTCAGATAATAAATTATAAAAGGAGCATTACAAAATATAAATATTATTAAAATCAACCAGATACTTGCAAATACCATCTGAAGTTCCCTAAAAACCCTTTAAAATGTCATTTTATCTGGCCTTCAATGTTTAGCTCTTCATATAACTTGTTTCCACCTCATTTCCTAAAGGCTAAATTTTTGCATTTGTAATGACAATTAATTTTTTATACGTGACATGATTAATTCATTGTTTGTAACCAGTAGATAGATTCATTAACCTGATTATCCATATTTTTGGAGAAAAGTCCTTCAACACGATCTCAGCCAATATCTTTAGCCACACATTTAAAATTATGATAATGCTATTACAAACACTTTTCAGGAAAAAAGTATATCCCTTTGTTATGATAAGAACTTAAATTGCTAAACAAATCATATATTGGAAACCATAATGACAGATAAGAAGTTAAAGGTGGAAATTTTATGAAAATCATTTAGAAGGGCTGCTATTTGTATAGTACAACATAAGATACACTTGGCAAAAGTTCTTAAACACAATAGTAATTAATAAACATTTCTCAGTTTGATCTGATTACTTGGTTTCTAAGTAATTTGTTCTCAGAATCTGAGAACTTTTCAATGTAAAAAAAGGTCATTAAAAATTGGCAAAACAGAACAAATTTTTATTCGTTAAATGTTTCAAAATATATTTAATTTATTTTTAAATAAGCTTAAGTTTAGCTTCAAACACATAGGAAACCCATGAGGTGCTATCCTACTTTTCTGAGCTCTTGGTTTCTGATAATGTTAATAATGGAACCCATCCTCTCCACACAGTCACAAAAAGGATTAACTTAAGTGATAGGCAAAAAAGTACTAGGAGAATTTGGGAAAGAAGAGGTTTGACTTATATGTCTCTACATCATTTATAATAGTATCCAAATAGCAGATCCCAACACATATCTGAATAAACTAATTTCTCAGATTATTTCAATTTTGTCAGCAATAAACATTTAATAATGCATTTGTTTTGGTGGCAAAAATAAGCATATTCTGAAAACAGAAAAAAAAAAGGGCCCGTTTGCATTTCACTGAGCTTTCAGAATTTTCTTATCTGATAGACAATTATTAATTTGGCCCTGTGATACTCTGTATTTTAGCCTCTAATACAAGAGAACTTTGTGAAAGTCACTGATGGATCTCATTGACAGGTTTCCTGGAACGGAACAAAGAACTTCCCATAAATACATAGCAATAATGGAACAAAAATGTCAACTTACAGACAGACTATAAGACTTCAGTTTAAGGAACGAAGCAGTTTAGCCTAGCTGATATAATACTCTTTACTTTTGTTGTACCACAACTTTTAGAAAATATCTGCATTATTCATGTTTGCCAGCCTGTGTAGTTTTAATGATGCCAGAACCCACCAAACCATAAGAGAATCTTTCTCTTTTATCAAAAAATTAAAAAATGCTAACATGGTTGCCTTACAAGTCATTGATAAAGTAAAAACAAGTAAAAGTCTGATAATATATCATGTCTCTCCATCTCCTTGGACACAATTTCTCTGAAGTTAAGCTCAGAATTTTAGGAAGATGTATTTAATATACTACTTAATTACAAAGTTCATTATGTTTCATTATTAGGGCCTCAAATTCCCATCAAAACTGAACAAGGTAAAAAGATAATTAAACTGGAAAAGTCAGAGGTTTAGACACTTGTTTTATCTAACACAGCTACTGTATTTGTGACTTCAGATTTCTCAGAGTAAGATTTATTACAGAAAATTAGTGTTAGTAAACATTTAACTATTTCCAATGAAACCGAAGATTTATATATTGAAATAAATATTCATCTATGCATGTAAGTATATTTTGGCTAAAAACCACCAGCAAAAAAATGCTTTGACCTAGTAGTTTAATCAGGGGTGTAGATTTATTCAACAACCATTTATTAAGCACCTTTTGGGTGTAAAACCTTGATTATTATGTCTGTTGGACTCTACTCAAAATTCATTATTAAATAATTATTTAAATCTTCCATATGGTTTATCAGTTTCCACAAGACATATTTTCACCATTTTACTTTTATAGGAAGAAAAAAGTTTAGTCAAACATTTCCCATATCTATACATTTCATGAGACCATGGGCAAGTCTTCTCTTAGGATAAACT